GAAGCACAGAGAACCCCTCTCAAAATCAATAAAAATAGGTCAACACCCCGACATCTAATAGTAAAACTTACAAGTCTCAGAGACAAAGAGAAAATCCTGAAAGCAGCTCAGGAGAAGAGAGATGTAACCTACAAGGGTAGAAACATTAGACTGGCAACAGACCTATCCACAGAGACCTGGCAGGCCAGAAAGGACTGGCAGGATATATTCAGAGCACTAAATGAGAAAAATATGCAGCCAAGAATACTCTATCCAGCTAGGCTGTCATTGAAAATAGAAGGAGAGATAAAAAGCTTCCAGGACAAACAAAAACTAAAGGAATTTGCAAACACAAAACCAGCCCTACAGGAAATCTTGAAAGGGGTCCTCTAAGCAAAGAGAGAGCCTAAAAGCAACATAGACCAGAAAGGAACACAGACAATATGCGGTAACAGTCACCTAACAGGCAATACAATGGCACTAAATTCCTATCTTTCAATAGTTACCCTGAATGTAAATGGGCTAAATGCCCCAATCAAAAGACACAGGCTATCAGACTGGATTAAAAAACAAGACCATCGATATGCTGTCTGCAAGAGACTCATTTTAGAACCAAAGACACCCCCAGATTGAAAGTGAGGGCATGGAAAACCATTTACCATGCTAATGGACACCAAAAGAAAGCTAGGGTGGCAATCCTTATATCAGACAAATTAGATTTTAAACCAAAGACTGTAATAAGAGATGAGGAAGGACATTATATCCTACTTAAAGGATCTATCCAACAAGAAGATCTAACAATTGTAAATATCTATGCCCCTACCATGGGAGCAGCCAATTATGTAAGCCAATTAATAACAAAAGCAAAGAAACACATCAACAACAATACAATAATAGTGGGGGACTTTAACACCCCCCTCACTGAAATGGACAGATCATCTAAGAAAAAGATCAACAAGGAAAGAAAGACTTTAAATGACACACTGGACCAAATGGACTTCACAGACATATTCAGAACATTCCACCCCAAAGCAATGGAATACACATTCTTCTCTAGTGCCCATGGAACATTCTCCAGAATAGATTACATCCTAGGTCATAAATCAGGTCTCAACCAGTACCAAAAGATTGGGATCATTCCCTGCCTATTTTCAGACCACAATGCTTTGAAACTAGAACTCAATCACAAGAGGAAAATTGGAAAGAACTCCAGTACATGGAGGCTAAAGAGCATCCTACTGAAGAATGAATGGGTCAACCAGGAAATTAAAGGAGAATTTAAAAAATACATGGAAACCAATGAAAATGAAAACACAACTATTCAAAATCTTTGGGATGCAGCAAAGGCAGTCCTAAGAGGAAAGTATATAGCAATACAAGCCTTTCTCAAGAAACAAGAAAGGTCTCAAGTACACAACCTAACCCTCCACCTAAAGGAGCTGGAGAAAGAACAGCAAATAAAGCCTAAACCCAGCAGGAGAAGAGAAATAATAAAGATAGGAGCAGAAATCAATGAAATAGAAACTAAAAGAACAGTAGAACAGATCAACGAAACTAGGAGCTGGTTCTTTGAAAGAATTAACAAGATTGATAAACCCCTGGCCAGACTTATCAAAAAGAGAAGAGAAATGACCCAAATCAACAAAATCATGAATGAAAGAGGAGAGATCACAACCAACACCAAAGAAATACAAACAATTATAAGACCATATTATGAACAACTCTATGCCAGCAAATTAGATAACCTGGAAGAAATGGATGCATTCCTAGAGATGTATCAACTACCAAAACTGAACCAGGAAGAAATAGAAAACCTGAACAGACCTATAACCACTAAGGAAATTGAAGCAGTCATCAAAAATGTCCCAACAAACAAAAGCCCAGGGCCAGATGGCTTCCCAGGGGAATTCTACCAAACATTTCAAGAAGAATTAATACCTATTCTTCTGAAACTATTCCAAAAAATAGAAACGGAAGGAAAACTTCCAAACTCGTTTCATGAGGCCAGCATTACCTTGATCCCAAAACCAGACAAAGACCCCATCAAAAAGGAGAATTACAGACCAATATCCTTGATGAACATGGATGCAAAAATTCTCACCAAAATACTAGCCAATAGGATCCAACACTACATTAAAAGGATTATTCACCACGACCAAGTGGGATTTATCCCTGGGCTGCAAGGTTGGTTCAACATCCGCAAATCAATCAATGTGATACAATACATTAATAAAAGAAAGAACAAGAACCATATGATCCTCTCAAGAGATGCAGAAAAAGCATTTGACAAAGTACAGCATCCTTTCTTGATCAAAACTCTTCAGAGTATAGGAGTAGAGGGTACATACCTCAATATCATAAAAGCCATCTATGAAAAACCTACAGCGAATATCATTCTCAATGGGGAAAAACTGAGAGCTTTCCCCCTAAGGTCAGGAACACGGCAGGGATGTCCACTATCACCACTGCTATTCAACATAGTACTAGAAGTCCTAGCCACAGCAATCAGACAACAAAAAGAAATCAAAGGCATCCAAATCGGCAAAGAAGAAGTCAAACTCTCACTCTTTGCAGATGATAGGATACTTTATGTGGAAAACCCAAAAGACTCCACCCCAAAACTGCTAGAACTCATACAGGAATTCAGTAAAGTGGCAGGATATAAAATCAATGCACAGAAGTCAGTGGCATTCCTATACACCAACAACAAGACAGAAGAAAGAGAAATTAAGGAGTCGATCCCATTTACAATTGCACCCAAAACCATAAGATACCTAGGAATAAATCTAACCAAAGAGACAAAGGATCTGTACTCAGAAAACTATAAAATACTCATGAAAGAAATTGAGGAAGACACAAAGAAATGGAAAAACGTTCCATGCTCATGGATTGGAAGAACAAATATTGTGAAGATGTCAATGCTACCTAGAGCAATCTACACATTCAATGCAATCCCCATCAAAATACCATCCACTTTTTTCAAAGAAATGGAACAAATAATCCTAAAATTTGTATGGAACCAGAAAAGACCCCGCATAGCCAGAGGAATGTTGAAAAAGAAAAGCAAAGCTGGCGGCATCACAATTCCAGACTTCCACCTCTATTACAAAGCTATAATCATCAAGACAGCATGGTGTTGGCACAAAAACAGACACATAGATCAATGGAACAGAATAGAGAGCCCAGAAATGGACCCTCAACTCTATGGTCAACTCATCTTTGACAAAGCAGGAAAGAATGTCCAATGGAACAAAGACAGTCTCTTCAACAAATGGTGTAGGGAAAATTGGACAACCACATGCAGAAGAATGAAACTGGACCATTTCCTTACACCACACACAAAAATAGACTCCAAATGGTTGAAAGACCTCAATGTGAGACAGGAGTTCATCAAAATCCTAAAGGAGAACACAGGCAGCAACCTCTTCGACCTCAGCTGCAGCGACTTCTTCCTAGAAACATCGCCAAAGGCAAGGGAAGCAAGGGCAAAAATGAACTATTGGGACTTCATCAAGATAAAAAGCTTTTGTACAGCAAAGGAAACAGTCAACAAAACCAAATGACAACTGACAGAATGGGAGAAGATATTTGCAAATGACATATCAGATAAAGGGCTAGTATCCAAAATCTATAAAGAACTTATCAAACTCAACACCCAAAGAACAAAGAATCCAATCAAGAAATGGGCAAAAGACATGAACAGACATTTCTGCAAAGAAGACATCTAAATGGCCAGCAGACACATGAAAAACTGCTCAACATCACTCAGCATCAGGGAAATACAAATCAAAACCTCAATAAGATACCACTTCACACCAGTCAGAATGGCTAAAATTAACAAGTCAGGAAACAACAGATGTTGGCGAGGATGCAGAGAAAGGGGAACCCTCCTACACTGTTGGTGGGAATGCAAGCTGGTGCAGCCACGCTGGAAAACAGTATGGAGGTTCCTCAAAAAGCTGAAAATAGAGCTACCCTATGGCCCAGCAATTGCACTACTGGTATTTACCCTAAAGATACAAATGTAGGGATCCGAAAGGGTACGTGCACCCCGATGTTTATAGCAGCAATGTCCACAATAGCCAAACTATGGAAAGAGCCTAGATGTCCATCAACAGATGAATGGATAAAGAGGATGTGGTATATATATATATAATGGAATATTATGCAGCCATCAAAAAAATGAAATGTTGCCATTTGCAACAACATGGATGGATCTAGAGGGTATTATGCTAACGAAATAAGTCAATCAGAGAAACACAAGTATCATATGATCTCACTGATATGAGGAATTTGAGAAATAAGACAGAAGATCATAGGGGAAGGGAGGGAAAAATGAAACAAAATGAAACCAGAGAGGGAGACAAACCATAAGAGATTTTTAATCTCAGGAAACAAATTGAGGGTTGCTGGAGTGGAAGGGGGTGGGACGGATGGGGTGGCTGGGTGATGGACATTGGGGAGGGTATGTACTATGGTAAGCGCTGTGATTTGTGTGAATATGTGAATCACAGACCTGTAACCCTGAAACAAATAATACATTATATGTTAATTTTAAAAAAAAAGATGTGTTGTATACATATACAATGGAATATTACTCAGCCATCAAAAATGTAATCTTAATATTTGCAATGATGTGGATGGAACTAGAGGGTATTATGCTAAGCAAAATAAGTCAATCAGAGAAAGACAATTATCATATGATTTCACTCATATGTAAAATTTAAGAAACAAAACAGGATCATCATAGGGGAAGGAAGGGAAAAATAAAATAAGATGAAATCAGAGAGGGAGACAAACCGTAAGAGACTGTTTGCTATAGGAAATAAACGGAGGGTTGCTGGAGGGGAGGTGGGTGAGGGAATGGGGTAACCAGGTGATGGACATTAAGGAGGGTATGTGATGTAATGAGCACTGGGTGTTACATGCAACTGATCAATCACTGAACTCTACCTCTGAAACTAATACACTATATGTTTATTAATTGAATTTAAATAAAAGAAAAAGAAAATTTTGGAAGTTGTAAGAGCATAAAAAAATACTTGTTAGTATAAAGCAAAGAAGGAATGGAGCACGACATCATTCCATAAAACCTAAAAGTGAGTATAATTTAATAAACGCATGGCATTTACTGAGACCTGCTATGTACTAGGCTCTCTTCAAACCATGTCTTATGTAAGAATGACATTGTTGTGGACTGAATGTCTGTGTCCCTCCAGAATTCATATTTCGAAATCCTAACCTAAGCTAATGTTGATAAACTTAGCAGGGAGAGCCTGGGGGGAGGTAATAGGTCATGAGGGTAGACTCCTCATGAAGGGGATGGGATGAAGAAATCCAAGCTCTCTCCTTTTGTCATGTGAGGTTGTTGGCAACTTGATCTTGTACTTCCTAACCTCCAGAAAATTATGAGAAAAGACATTTTTGTTCTTCAAGCCACCCAGCTATGATATTTTTGTTACAGCAGCCCAAAGTGACTGGGACAAATTAAATACCTTTTAAATTAAAAGTAGCACGTGCAGAGGTGCCTAGCTGGCTCAGTCAGGGGAGTGTGTGACTCTTGATCTCAGGGTCATGAGTTCGAGCCCCATGCTGGGTGTAGAGATTACTTAAATAAAACTTTAAAAAATAAAAATAGCATGTGCAATATAATCCTTCCTTTTTTCTTGATTCCCATCTATTAATGCACTGTATTGCTTTAATAAAAATAAGGAAGTCTTTGTCCTTAAACAGAAGATAGCACTTAACCATTCTTTAAAAAAAAAAAAAAATTCTCCTGCTTTACCAGTCTTCCCTCAGTTTCCCCCATCCTCCCACTGTTACTATTTTGATTATATTTATTTCTCAATGATTATATTTATTTCTCAATTTATATTTATTATATTTATTTCCTATTTTGATTATATTTATTTCTTAACTATTCATTTCTAAACACAAAATGTTCCAAGCTTTAAACATGTTCTTCTTTGCACTCGTGTTTGTAATAATTCCGCTTAAAAAACTGATTTTAGTCCCTATTAAAGCCCACAGAGAGGGACACATAAGGACATGAGGGAGAAAATGGGGAGGGATGGAATCAACCGTAAAGGTTCTCTGGTAGCTGATTTATTTTCCTCAAGGCTTTTATCCCAGACTATAGTGAAGAGTTACATGAAGTGTACTTAAATGTCCCCCTCGCACCGTAGAAGTCCCTATGTTATGCAACATAGAGCTTTTAGGGGTGGTGGGGAGGAAAAAAGCTTAGGAAAACACACCAGGACAGAGGCCTGCCTGGTAAATAAAGAAAAGCACCAGTGAGGGGCTACAGATAGGTGTATCTGTACAGATAGGGATAGAGGACATTGATTTATTACAAAGAGTTGGCTCAGGGGATCTGGGAGGCCAGTGAGTCTCAGACTCTGCAATCAGCCAGCTGCAGACAGGAGAGCTGATGGTGGAATTCCAGTCTGAAGGCCAACAGGCTCAAGATCTGGGGAAAAAGGACAGGAGGATCAGTTCAAAGGCAAGAAGAATTTTCTGACTCAGGAGAGGGTCAGCCTTTCTGTTCACTGGTACAACCCCTTCTCCCTGGAAATCTGCAAGCCACCTGTCCTCTCCTTGCCTCCCTGCAGAAACCTAGCCTCCCTCAGAACTGCCGCACCAGAGTGGAGGGCAGACATGGGGTTCAGCTCTCAGAGGTTTCTAGAAATGAGCAACTGGCTTCCCAGACACAGAAGGGTAGTTTCTGACTAGAAAGTCCTCCTAGGATGAAAGACAGAGCCAATGTCTGGGCACGTTTGTGCAGCTGAGTGGGGTGTCTGGGGTCTTCTGTGGAGGCGGACTGAGTGTTCCTAAAGGACCCGGGGTGCCTTGGCATTGAGCTCTCTTTCCATTCTCTCTGCCAACGCAGCTGTATTTCTCTCTTGCCATATTCCTCCTCCTCTCAGAAAGGGAGAGTCAAGAGCACACATGCCTGCCCTCCCCCACTCACTCCCCTGACACTCACAAAACCCACCATTTTGCTGTGCAATTGATCATAGAGTTTGGGAGCTAAAACATCTCCTCCAAGCTCCTTCTTTCTCGAAAAAGGAATACTGAATTCAGACAGCAGAAAGGGTTAGCCCAGGTGGAGATGGAGCATGACCTTGACATTTCTATGCCCACTGAGGCCAGTCTGTTCAGTACAGAATCTGGGAGGCCGAAATCACGGCCCTAGGCTTGGCTCCTAATGTGTGTGGGGAGGGGGCGGGGGGGGGATCTGGGAGGAGACAGGGCCATTGCAGCCTGCAAACCTCCTCCACCCAAGCACAGGCAGACATCACCGACCTCAGCCAGCAAATTCCCTGCCAATCGGGGGCTTGGCTGTTTTGCTCAGCTTCTCTCCTCCCACAGCTGCCTCCCCGCACCCCAGCCCCGTCGCCCCTCCTCCTCTGACGTCACCCACATGCTCTTTGAGGACTGGCTCTGGGCCTGGGAAGGAAAGTCAGTCCCTGGGTGAGGGTCTGGACAGGAACGCGCGGAGAGGCGGGGCACTCGGACTGACAGCCGTCAGAGTTAAGAACGCCCTGTCTCACACGGTACCGCGTGTGTTTCCACAGCCCTGAAAAGCAGCAGAGTTTCAAGTGGCAGTAAAAGGGCACAACCAAGTGTTCTGTTCATAAGGTGCTCTACCCACTACACTTTCTACCTGTAAAGAAGGAAATTATCGGGCGCCTGGGTGGCTCAGTTGGTTGGGCGGCTGCCTTCGGCTCAGGTCATGATCCTGGAGTCCCTGGATCGAGTCCCGCATCCGGCTCCCTGCTCATCAGGGAGTCTGCTTCTCCCTCTGACCCTCCCCCTTCTCGTGTGCTCTCTCTCATTCTCTCTCTCAAATAAATAAATAAAATCTTTAAAAAAAAAAAGAAGGAAATTATCTGGGGGGACAAAGACGAACCAATGCAGAAGAGAAGATGAACAGAAAGAGAAATAAGCATAAAAAGGGAAGTGGGATTCAGAACTGAGGGTGGCCTGTGGGATCCAGGGCGGAAAGGGAGCTAACAGGTCAAAGTCGCTCAGAGATAAGTGAAAGAGAAGCAAGAGAAATATGAGGACAGGCATAGAGGCCCAGGTAATGAGATGGCTGGCTTTGAAGATGGAACCCAAAAGTCAAAGAATTTGGGCAGCCTCCAGGAGCTGAAAAAGTCAAGGAAATGAAGTCTCCCTGAGGGCCTCCAGAAGGAACACAGCCCTGTCTACACCTTGATCTCAGCCAGTGGGCTTCTGAGCTACAGATGTGTATGATAATAAATGTATTGTTTCAAGTCACTAAATTTGTGGACACTTGTTATTGCAGCCATAGGAAGGGAATGCCCTCCCCGGATGGTAAGGAGGCGATGTGCCAGAGGCTTCATAGTCTAGGTTTATAATAGCCACACCTTTCTTTCTCTCATGCTCAATATCTGCCACCTATTTGTTAGTAATATTTTTAACACCTTCCTGTTTTTTATTTAACTTATAAAACTATACATGTGCTGTTTTAAAATAATTCAGTGGTTATGAAGATAAGTATCAATAGCCAACTCCTTCACTCTTAGCCCTGCCCCGTGTATAAGCCTTGCAAGATTGTTTTCTTCTTATAAGAATGTAACCGTATGCTCCATTCTAATGCAACTTGACGCTTTTAATTAAAAATGTATCTAGGACCCGAAGATTTAACTCTTCCTTAGAGATAATTGCGCATTATCTTATATAAAAATATATTATTGTATATCAATTGCTCACTTGTTCATAAATTGTCTTAGATTTATTTTTCAACGAACTGCCCTGCCGCGCTCCCTGGACGGGTGCTGGGGTCCCCATGCCGGATTTGGGGCTGCATCTTCCTGCAGAAATTGATACAAAGAGAGGCCTCTACGGTCCGGGGACTTCGGGCCAGGCTCCGCCCCAGCGCCGCGGCCACCAATCAGCTCCCGGGACGCCCCCCCCCCGCCCCCCGCGCGCCCCGCTGTCTGCCTGAGACTTTCCACGTCCCCAGCCTCGGCGGCCGCCCAGTCCCTTCTCACCTGAGAAGCTCCTTCCCTTGGGGAACTGCCGCTGCCCCCTCCGAGCCGGTCCTCTCCGCCCCGAACCCGCGCTGCAGGGAAAGCGGGGCAAACGGTAAGTGGGGGTCAGCGATGGATTCTGGACCCAAAGAGGCCTGGGAGCGACACAGGCCACAGCCCGGAGCGCTGTGGCCCGGGGGTGGGGTGGGATGGGGGCACGGGGAGACAGAGGGAATGCCCGTGGAGACTGTGCGTGCTGTCGGGTAGGGAAGGATGGGGACTGGTGTGGGGCCTCTACTTGTCCTCAAGGGGAGGGTGGCAGACGTGTTTAACATAATTCCTTGCGGTTTACCTCTCGGATTCTTCTCTGCTGTCTCCCTGCAACTCGGTCTCTGTTTTCTTCTTGCCGCAGTGTTTGTCTCCCTTGCTTGTCAGGAGGCGATGACCTTCCCCCTCCCCATTTTCTTGTGCTTTTTTTGTGCGTGTGCTCTACAAGGAGCCACTGAGATTTGAGCTAAAACGAACCCCGGAGGTAATGTTACCCCATCTCCTGGGGCGTTGCTTTTAAATTATCTGGCTGTTGCTGGCCTCTGCAGGACCACTCCCACCCCCCACCCCACCCCTCGAAAGCCTACTCCAGTGCTCTAGGCGCCCAGAGGCTCTGAGTGTGTCTGCGCTGGGGGAGGGAGGTGTGGGGTGCGGGAGGGGTGGTGGTAAGAGTAGGTGCCGTGAAGGGGGCGGAACTTTAGTCTGGAATGTGTTTGGCCTGCAGCTGTAAGTACTGGATTATACAGTTCCCAGGTAAACAGCTCGAGCTGGCCAATGAGTTGGGTAAACCTGCAATGAACGGAGAAGGTCTTAAGTATAGGAGAAAAAGATTTATGAACCAGATAATCATGAAATTCTTTTTTTTTTTTTTAAGATTTTATTTATTTATTTGACAGAGAGAGACATAGTGGGAGAGGGAACACAAACAGGGAGAGTGGGAGAGGGAGAATCAGGCTTCCCGCAGAGCAGGGAGCCCAAATGCGGGCTCTATCCCAGGACCTGAGCTTTCGGAAGGCAGACGCTTACCGACTGAGCCACCCAGGCGCCCCCAATCATGAAACTTCTTGAAAGAAGTTCAAGTTCGATTAGACATAAAGGACCGAACGATCCATCTAGCAAACCACCCATCCATCCATCCATCCATCCTTTCTTTGATATTCCAAATTATTTATTTGTCCATTGACTTCATTTCAATACCTTGCTTTCTTTTTTGCTTTGGTTTTTTTTGTGTGTGTTTATTATAAAGGGGTATATAAAACGTCTAGAACGGTCTAAATAATGAACAGAATGCCTGACCATCTCCTAGATGGAAAAAATGGCACTGCAGTACCACAGAAGCCCCCTGCGTGTCCCCCTAAAGCCCATCCTTTCCCTTCCGTGAGAGGTGACAGCTGATTTTTGGATTAATCATTTCCTTGCTTTTCTTTATAGCTTTGTGATTTGTGCGTGTATCCCAAAAACATGTATGTACATGTTTGCTTTCCCTAATTTTTTTAATTTTCATATTAATGGCATTATACTGTACATACTCAAGTTTTTGAGATTCACCCTTGATGATTCCTTCATTTTCACTGCTTATGGTATGAGTATACTATAATTTATCCATTCTACATTTAGGTTGTTGCTAGTCTGGGAAATGTATTAGTTATCCTTTGCTGTGTAACAAATTACCCCAACACTTAGCAGCTTAAAATAAAAACCTATTATCTCACAGTTTCTGTGGGCCAGGAATCCAGAAAGAGCTTAGCAGGGAGTGTCTGACACAGTTATCTCTCACCGGCTATAAGCAATATCGTCTGGTACCACAGTCTTCTCGAGGCTGAGGATAGAGGGAACCCCTTCCAAGCTCCCTCAAGTGACTGTTGGCAAGCCTCTTGGCCTCACTGGCTTTGGTTGGACACATCAGTTCTTTGCCAAATGGGCTTCTGTTTAGGAACTAGTCACAACATGGCAGCTTGCTTCCCCCGGGATAAAGGCTCCCTGAGAGAAGGAGAGAAAAAGATGAAGGCCAGATTCTTTTTGTAACCTAATCTCAAAAGTGACATGTGATCTTCTATTTATTAGAAGTGAATCACTAATTGTAGCCCACACTCAAGAGAAAGGGCTTACACAGAACCATGGACATCTGGAGGTTTTAAAGCCTGCCTACTACAGGGGATATTAACAAATCATGTTGTTCTCTAACATTCTTGTACATGCACAGGCTCACTCTGGTTCCCTGGATTGCACACCCAGGTACAGAATTACCAGGTTATAAGATTGGTGTATGTGCAACTTTATTAGGTTATTTCCAACCTGTTTTCAAAGTATTGAGCTGGTTTTTACTCCCTCTAGCAATAGACAAGAGTTTGTTACTCCACATACTTGTTATAACTTGGTATTATCAAATTTCATTTTTAGCCTGTCTGGTGGGCATGAATAGTGTTTCACTGTGATTTTAATTAGCATTTCTCCAATAACTAATGAAGTGACCATCTTTTCAAACATTGGTGAACTATTGTGCTTTCTCTCTGAAATCCTGGTTCCTGTCTTTTACTCATTTTCATATTGGGTTGTTTGCCTTTTTCTTATTGACTCATTGGAATGCTTTCCTTATATAATGTATAGTATAGGTAATCAATTCTTCGTCAGCTGTACATGCTGCAAATATCTGCTTTCAATTTGGTGCTTAGCTTTTCTTTCTCTGTATGTCCATATCTCTCAGCGAACTAAGTTTTGAATTTTAATTTCAAGTTACCAATATTTTCTTTTATAAAAAGAAAATTGGTTTCTCTAAACAGTAATTTTACTATATTTACCTCTAAAAGCATTTATAGTTTTGCATTTGGCAATTTGTCTTAATCCACCTGGAAACTGATTGTTATATTGTTTATTCCATATGGATAATCAGTTGTCTCAGCACCAGTGATCTGCAAGAATTCAGTTTTTCATATAAGCATGAATTTGTTTTAAGTTTCCTAATCCTGTAGTTATCTCAAGATCTTACCATTTTTAAAATTTTTCTTCAAGAGTTTTTAGCAATTCTTGTATCTTTGATCTTCCATATAAATAAATTTTTTAAAGATTTTATTTATTTGTTTTAGAGAAAGAGAGCATACGGGCAAGGAGAGGGGTAGAGGGAGAGGGAGGGAGACAATCTCAAGCAGACTCTGCACTGAGCATGGAGCCTGATGTGGGGTTTGATCCTGTGGTCCTGTGATCTTGACCCAACCCAAAACCAAAAGTCAGACACTCAACCAACTGAGCCAACTAGGTGCCTCCATATAAATATTTACATGAACTTATCAAGTTCTCCCAAACAAGGAACAAACAAGCAAATAAACCCACTGGAATTTTGGTTGATATTGCATTAATTTTATATATCAATTTGGAGAGACAAGTCCTCTTTAAGATGTTGCATTTTTCCATCTATGAACTTGGTATATAATCCTATTTATTTAGCTCAACTTTAATGTTTTGTAATATTTTTCATTGTTTTCCTTCTGCTTATGTTTATTAAATTTATTTCCAAATACACTATGTTTTTACTGCTATCGTAAATGTTTTCTTTTATAAAATTATATTTTATAGCTTATTGTTTCTGTTGTATAGAAATTCCGTTGCCTTTTATATATTGACTCTATTTCGAACATGACAAACTCCATTAATAATTCTAACTTTACCTGTACAGTCTTTCAGATTTGCTACACAGGCTATCATATCATCTGAAAATCGACAGTATTGTTTCTTCCTTTCCAATCCTTATACCTTTAATTTCTTTTTCCTGTCTCACTGCGTTGGCTAGGACCTTCAGTATAAAGTTGAATAAAGGTGAGAAGGGCATCTTGTTTTATCCTTAAGAAAGAGAAAGATTTCATTATGTCAACTTTAAATATTGCATTTGGAATGGTTAGTTTGTAAATGCCTTGTCCCATGATAAGAAAGTTTGATTCTTCTTCTGGGAAGCACTTTTATTATAAGTAGATGTTTTATTGAATGCTTCTTCTGTAGCTATTGATTTTCTCATATGTTTTTTCCATTTAAATATGTTAATATGATAAAGTGTAGTATTCAATCTTTAATATTTAATCAGCTTTGCTTTCCTGGAATAAATTGTCTCTGGTAAATATGCAATAACTTTTATATAAAGATAAGCATTAGATATTTGCATTTATATATGTGAATTGAGATTGGCATGTAATTATCCTCTTTGGTTCTTACTTTATTATTTGTTGATATCATCTCATAAAATAAGATGGGTAGTATTCTCACTATTGCTATTCTATGGAAGAATTTGGGCTAGGTTGGAATTATCTGGTCCTTGACTATTTCCTCAAATCACCAGCAAAACCCCAGGTTGTGGAGTTTACTTTATCAAAAGGTATTAAAATTGTTGGTTCAATTACTTTAAGGATTATAGGACTATTTAGGTTTTCTTATGAGTCAATTTTCATGAATTTATTTTCTAAGATATTTAACTGTTATATATATATATAATCAAACTTAATAGAATAAAATAGTTCATAATATTCTCTCATTATGTTTAGTTTCATCATCTATTATTATGACCTGTTTTTATTATTAATGTGTGTAAATATACTTTCTCATTTTGTTTTGACTAATTTTGCCAGAATTTGGACTACTTTATTAGCTCTTTCATATACTTACACCCATACACACACATACATGAAACTTAGCTTTTTTTTTCATTAATTGTTATTTGTTTTATTAGTTCTTCTTTAATTTTTTGTTATTTTCTAAGCTTTTAAGGTATATGCTTAGCTCATATGTTTAGCACATTAAGCTCTTAAATTTGTGACACTGCTTTTTAGCTATATCTCTCAAGTTTTGATACAAATATTTTGCTATCATGTAGCTGTAAGTATCTATAATTTTCATTATGATTTCTTATTTAAGCCATGCATTTTTTTAGAACAGTGTATTTTAATTTCCAGTTACTCACATGAGGTTTCTTTTATTATCTTGCAGTAAATGTTACCTAATTCATAATATAGTCAGAGAATGTATGATATCAATTCCTTTGGATTTATTGAACCTAGCTTTATGATCTAGCACATGATCAGTTTCATTTGTGCGCTTGATGATAATGTATAGTGTCTAATTATATTAACAAGTGTGGTAATTATACAATCCAGATCTGCCATATCCTTACCAGTTTTTTATCTGTTTGAATTGTCGATTACAAAACAAAAAGTATGTTACCATCTCTCACTATGATGGTAGATTTTGAAATTTCTCATTGTAGATCTGTATATTTTTACTTTATATATTTTGAGGCTCTGTTATTAGTGAATTGGAGTAAATTGAAAATTTTAATATAATGTAAGGATTCAATATTATGGCTACCTATTAATGCTTTTTGGCTTAAATTCTTAATTTGTTCACCTATCAAATCAAGGTTTCTTTGACTAATGTTTACCCTGATTGGTGTTTACCTCCGAGAAAGATTTATCTTTCTTTCATCCTTTGACTTTAAATCTTTCTAAAACTATGTTTTAGGTCATATATAGGTCATAAACTTATCGGTATTTTTTAAATGCTGGTTTTAAAATTATTGTTTGAGAGGTGCCTGGGTGGTTCAGTTGGTTGGGCATCTGACTCTTGATTTTGGCTCAGGTCATGATCTCGGAGTCATGAGATTGAGCCTGGTATCAGGCTCCATGCTCAGTGGAGATTCTGTTTGAGAGTCTCTCCCTCTCCCTTGGCCCCTCTCCTCCCCAAATAAATAAATCTTTAAAAATAAGTAAATAAAAAAAATAAAATTATTGTTTGACAATTTATAACTTACCACTGAATAATTTATTCCAGTTATATATATTGTGATTAGTAGTGCAAATAGATTTCTATCTCCCTCTCTCTTTTTTTTTTTTTTGCTTATTATTTTTTGTGCTTTATCTGTCTCTTTCATTCCCCTCCCCTCTTTTACTCCTTCATTCCCCATTTTTCTGCTCCTCTTATTTCGAAGTTATATGTTGTAATGTGTTAGGTTGAATGTTTTAGGAATACTCTAGTTGTATAACACATTAAATCATAACATTTATTAGGGTATAATTGAGAAAATTTGCATATATATAAAATGTACAATGTGATGTTTAGATATATGTGTACATTGTGAAATGATTACCACATCAAGCTAATTAATATATTGATCACCTCACATAGTTAACCTTTTGTGTGTGTGTGTGTGTGTGTGTGAACAATTGAGATCTATTCTCTTAGCAAATTTCAAGTATGTAATACAGTATTATTAACTATAGTCCTTGTGCTATACATTAGATCTCCAGAACTTATTTACCTTACATACCTGAAATTTTGCAACCTTTGATCTATATATCTCCCCATTTCTCCCACCTCCCAGCACATGCTACTTTCTGCTTCTGAGTTTGACTATTTTAAATTCTACATATAAATGAGATCACACAGTATTTGTCTTTGAATTATTTTGAAACTTAGCATAATGCCATCAAAGTTCATCCATGTTGTCACAAATGGCCAGGTTTTCTTCTTTTTATGACTTTTTTATTACTTTTCTTCTATTTATTTATGACTAAATAAATTCCATTGAATATACATACAACAATTTATTTATCCATTCATTCATTGGATAACCACTTAAGTCATTTGCCGTATCTTGACTACTGTGAATAATACTGCAATGAACATAGGAGTGCAAATATCACTTCCAGATATTGATTTCATTTCCTTTGAATATATACCCAGAAATTGGGTTCCTGGGTTCTAATGACTTTACCAATGTACATTCACACCAACAGGGTGCAAATGTTTCCTTTTCCCCATATCCTCACCAACACTTGTTATCTTTTTGATAGTAGTCCTTCTAACAGGTGTGAGGTGATATGTCATGGTTTAGATTTGTATTTCCCTGATGATTAGTGGATTTGAGTACTTTTTCATATACCTATTGGCCATTTGTATGTCTTCTTTTGAGAAATGTCCACTTAGGTCCTTTGCTCATTTTTTAATTGGATTATTTATTTTCTTGCTAGTGGAGTTGTTTGAATTCCTTATATATTTTTTGTATTAACCCCTTATTGGGGACATATGGTTTACAAATATTTTCTCCCATTCCATAGGTTGTCCCTTCACTCTGTTGATTGTTTCTTTTGCTATGCAGATGCTTTTTAGTTTGAAGTAGTCCTATTTGTTTACTTTTGCTCTTGTTGCCTGTGTTTTGGGGGTTATATCCAAATATTTATTGCCCAGACCAATGTCAAGAAGTTTTTTCCCTATATTTTCTTCTAGTAGCTTTACAATTTCAGGTCTTAACATTTAAATCTTAATTACATTTTGAGTTGATTTTCATATACGGTATTTTTCCGCATGTGGATATCCAGTTATTCCAACACCATTTATTGAAGAGTCTATCCTTTCCCCATTGTGTGTTCTTTGTACCTTTGTTGACAGTGAGTTGAATGTAAATGTGTGGGTTTATTTCTGGGCTCTCTATTTTTTCCCATTGCAAGTACCATAGTATTTTGATTACTGTAGCTTTGTAGTATAGTTTGCAATCGGGCATTTGTAATGCCTCAAATTTTATTCTTCTAGCTGAAGACTGCCTTGGCAATTTGAGTTCTTTTGTGGTTCATATGAATTTTAGAATTGGTTTTTTTTTCCAGTTTTGTAAAAAATGCCGTTGGAATTTTGTAGATTTTGTACTCAAATCCACTAATCATCAGGGAAATACAAATCTAAATCTGTAGATAATTTTGGTTAGTATTGACATTTTAACATTATTGATTCTTCCAATCTATGAACATGGAATATCTTTTCATTTATTTGTGTCTTCAATTTCTTTCTTCAATGTTTTATAAGTGTCGTCTTTTACCTCCTTGGTTAAATTGGTTCCTAAGTATTTTATTGTTTTTAATGCTATTGTAAATGGGATTATTTTCTTAATTTCCTTTTCAGATACTTCCTGGTTAGTTTATAAAAACACAACTAATTTTTGTATGTTGATTATGTATCCTGCAACCATACTGAATATACTGAATTTGTTTATTAGTTCTAACAGTTTTTTGATGGAGTCCTTATGGTTTTCTATATATGAGTTTTACAATACTGAAATTCTCCAGCCTTGCTTCTATAATTTTTTAACATATTGACTCAGTTATTTTAAAGTCAATCCCTAAGAATGCAAATGTCCAAACCACATGTGAGTCTGTTTCTATTATTTGTTGTTTCTTCTGAGTTCTTGGCAATGTAATCTGATTTTTAGCCTCCCCCTAAACCATAAAGTTATGGTTGATGTTATTGTTTTTCGAAGAGGATTTTGGGGGTGGGGATGAGCAATGATAAAGCACCAGAAGAGTACTTTCATGCCATTAAAGGTTAGTTTTAAGCTTTCTTAAAATTGGTGCATTTTAAGTTTTTCCTTTACCCAAGACCATAATCCTGACTCCAAAGGTGTCATTCTTTTGATATGCCATGGATCCTCTCATGTCTCAACTGAAAGAGTGTGTTGATTAAGAGTGTATTGTTTTTGTGGGACTTGACCTCCACTGCTTTATTCCCAGAATAGTACAGCTACTGAAATAACTGTCATCTGTTTGACATTTTAGCTGCTATTTTCAACAAGCTTTGGTGGATTTTTTTGGAGGAGGTGGTCCCTTCCTGTGTGTGCATAGTTTAAGAGTCAGCCAGTGACAAATTAAGGGGAATTTGTATACAGATTTTTTATATTCACTCTCAGAGATAGCTTCTTGTCTGAAATTTTGCCCTCTGAGTTCAGTTGGTTTGAGAATCTTGAATCAGTAAGACTGACACTTTCTGCTTGGCCTCACTTTTTCTGCATTGTGAACTTGAAAATCCCCAGTGGATGTAGAACTCATGTCCTGTGTATTTCTTCCCTTGGGATTATAGCTTCTCAAATTCTCCTTGTGTTGTTTGCTCTTCCAAGTCTTCCATTGTTTCCTAGATTTTGTCCAACTTTTATTGCTGTGAATTTTCAGTGGAAGGGTTGTTCTAAATAAGGTATTCTCTCAGTGCCAGATTTAGAAGTCTCTTACCATTTTGTCTTACATTTCAGATAATTTATCTCAGATTATTTTATTTCTTCTTGAGATACATCCTTTAGAATTTCCTTAAAGAACTTTTGAAAATAAATTCTCAAATTTATCTGAAGATAACATCTTTAAGACACTTGTAATAGAAGATAGTGCCAGGGCAGAACTAGGGGTAAGAAAGAAGGGAGGGTAGTATCCAGTTTTAGATTATTATGGATGGTGCTGCCTTGAACATTATGGTACATGTCTTTTGGTGACATATATATACATTTCTCTTGGGTATATACCTAAGAGTGGTATTACTGAATAGTGGTATTACTGAATAGTCCATATATATATATAATATATATATATATTAGGTTATGTTTGTAACATTTTAAAAATACAAAATGCTAAAGAAAGGTGCCTGGGTGGTTCTGTTGGTTAAGTGACTGCCTTTGGCTCAGGTCAAGATCCTGGAGTCTCAGGGTCGAGTGCCACATCAGACTCCTTGCTCAGCAGGAAGTCTGCTTCTCCCTCTGACTCTCGCCCCTCTCATGCTCTCTCTCTCTCTCATTCTCTCTCTCTCAAATAAATAAATAAAATCTTTTTTAAAAAAAGTTTAGGGGCACCTGGGTGGCTCAGTCGTTAAGCGTCTGCCTTCGGCTCAGGTCATGATCCCTGGGATCGAGCCCCGCATCAGGCTCTCTGCTCGGTGGGAGGCCTGCTTCTCCCTCTCCCACTCCCCCTGCTTGTGTTCCCTCTCTCGCTGTGTCTCTCTCTGTCAAATAAATAAATAAAATCTTAAAAAAAAAAGTTTAAAAAAATAAAAATAAATGTCTAAAGAAAAAAATTACTTGTCAACCCTCTCCACTTCCTGAGGTAGCCAAATATGTCCTTATTTTTCCTGCTTAAATAAACATAAACACATACTAGGAGCATTACAAATTTTTTGCTGAAAATATATATTGAAAGCATTCCTCAAGGTATGACTTGAGCTTATCCTTTTTCAGAACTGCATAATATTTTATAGTATGGGTTTTTAATAAATTGTTCATTCATTCCAATTTAGCTGAGTATTTACTGAATGTAATATTTCAAAAGTTATTTCATTACATTCAGGATTTCATGGCAGTCTCAAGGTAGAAACCGGAAAGAAAAACAGAAACTCTAGAAGGATATAGGATTTAAAACGGAGCAAGTGATGTGAAGTCTGAAACAGAGGGAGAGATTAGAACTAGCTGAAATTTTAGCAGATATAGGAAGAAAACAAAAGGTTTATGGGAGAAGATTAAAAGAAAAGAATATGAAGATGAGAAAACTTACAACATAGGAAAGCTGTGATTTGATTCACTGTTAAGCTACTCTTTGTCTTGTTGAGGAGTGTGCTAAGATTGCCTTCCTCACCCCACAGTCATGTATCTTGTCCATCCATCCATCAAGCAGACATTACCAAGCACCTGTTTGTGGGCCACATGAAGTGGAGAATCTAAAGAAGAACAAAACACAGTTCTTGACTTATGTTTACTCTAGTTTGGGGAGTGGTAATGAAACCCCAAAGTGATACAGGATGTAGGAATCTATCTCCTTTACCACTGAAACCACATTCCTGTCAAAGGTCCAGCCTGGACACTGTTTTGTGGTAGGGGAGAAAGCTTTTTACTGGTCACTTCCTGAGAACAGTTTGATCAGGGACACCTTCTCCTTAGGCACGCAGAGAATAGGGGCCAGTGCAGTGATGGGTGAAGGGTGAGGAAACAGCAGAATGTACAGATGCCACACAAATCTTTCAGGCCTTTGGGACCAGCCATAAAAGGGAACAAGCTGGTTTTTGGCCCAGCTTCTAAATTTGAGCTCACCAAGCTAGATGAGCAGACATGGATTCAAGGCGGGACCATATAGTCAGGTTATGGCTCAAAAGTCAAGTGTTATATCCTGCTCTTACTGACTAAAATGAGATAGGACTAGGGACAAAGTTCAAGAATCCCCCACACAGGGAAAAATCATATTTATGGCTGTGTCACTACCAGCTATTTGAGCAAGGATATTTTATCTGTTTTAGTTCATTAAATTTATCAATTTTTATCACAAAATAATATATATTTCTACCAAAATGTTAACAAGGTGTATGAAGAAAACATACTTAAAAGTAATCTACTGTTAACTGTCTGAAGTAACTGATTCTAATTGTTTGATGTATGTTTTCCATATAATTTGTGTTTATATAAGCATATATAAATATTTAAAAAGTTTTTCCTACAAAAATGCAAGCTCTATTTTTAATACCATGTTAAACGTTCATTAAAAATATTAATATAGATACAGCCTAACTCCTGGCACATATATGTATATTTAACTCTTCCTTGTAAATAGTTATGTATCGTTTTATATACAAATCTATATTTATCAACCCCTCCCTTGGTAAAGTCTTACGGATTTGTTTTTTAACCAATCGCCCTGTCGCACTCGGAGCCGTGCCGGGACTCCATCCAGGATTTGGGGCTGCATCGTCTCAACACAAAGCAGGGCCTCTGAGGTCTGGGGGCGGCCAGCCAGGCTCCGCCCCCCCGCCGCAGCCGCCAATCAGCTCCCGGGTGGTACCCCCCCCCCTCGCCCTCTGCACTGCAGGCCATCTCCCCGCTGCACGCCTCCCGCCGCCACCTCCTCCAATTACCGAATCTGCAGGCTGACTGCCCTGTCTCCTTGTCACGTCTCTGCAGATCAGTCCCTTACCCCTCCGGTTAGCCCGGTGTGAAAATTGCTGGATAACGGGTGAGTATCGTCCAAAGATGGTTCTGGAACCGGAGCAGGCCCCGGCGCACCGACCAAGCTCGCGCGGCTGGGGTGGGAGAAGGAGCGACCCGGCCAGAGTCCGGGGGAGCGCGGGGGAGGGGGCGCCTGCGGGGCTGCGAAGGTAGTCAGGGTCTGGGCCTGAGACCGCTTGGGCCTGGAGGCAGATGTCTTCAAAGGGGACTCCCTGCGGTCTCTCCATCTCTGTGTCTGGTTCTGCTTTTTTCTACCACTCTGGCTCTTATTTCTTTCGTGCTTCATTCTTCTCCAGGAATTTCCGCCCTATTACAACACTTCTCATGATGAAATGTTTCGAAGCTGCAGATACGTACAGAAAATAATATAACAGAATTATCAGATGCGGACATTTTATTACCTTTGCTTCAGCGCACTTGCTCTCCCCGCCCCCCACCCCGTGGATGTGGATGTGTGTCTCCCCCCTCCCCGCGTGTGTGTATATGTGTGTGTGTCTCCTCCTTTCTAAGAAACAAAACCTGACAGTTAAAATCTTTTCCCCATGAAATCTCATGTCCATCCTCAGATGTAAGTTAGGGTCTATCCTTCTCACGTATATTTTTGTCCTTTTATTATTTATTTTTATGTAAACAATATTTTAAATTTTTCCATGCAACTCAGTACTTGGGGGGTTTGCCTTGCGGTGCTATTAGTCTTGTCATTTCAGACTGGAAAGGGACTTAGCAAGCAAGTCTCCAGCCCTCCTTGTTTATTAGCTCAGAAACTTGAGCCCTGTCGGGGATAAAGGACGTGCTCACTGTCGCTCAGGTGGTCCTCCACTGGGCAGGATCCTGAATTGAGGTTTTCTTGATTTCTGTTCCTGGCGTTCCTTCTGTGTTTTATGCCACTGAGCTCACCTACCCATATCCCTTATTGGCTATTAATTATATGATTCAATTTGGGGAAAGATTTAAAGAAGAAAGGAAAGAGGAAAAGGAGGTTGAAGGGGACTCGGGAAAGGAAATATGACTTGGATTTGGACCAAAACTCTAGTCAGTATATTAAAAGGTATGCATTTTCCTGGAACATGAAGTATTGAATCTTAGGGCAGCCTGAATATTTATTTTATTTAACAGGCACTGGTACAGTCTTACTGCATGCCAGTCATTGATCTAAGAACTTTACAAGTATTCACTCACTTAATTTCAGCCTTACAATAAATCTGTAATATAGGTACTAATTTTATCATTCCTATTGTACAAGTAAAACTGAGGTCAGCCTGTAGATTGTAGCACTGAGATCTGAATCCGGGACATCTGGTGACAGTCTTGAGTTTTTAACTGCATTTCACATGCTAGAACTAGCTCCTGAGGACGGTGAAGTCACTGGACAAAGTAGAACTCACAGTTCACAGCAGGGAGGACAGCTGTCAACTGGTGATCAGAAAAGACTTCAAGAAAGAAATAGGAACTGAAATGTACATAGAAAGGTAGACTCTAGCTACCTATTGTCCGTTTGAAATATAATATATTCATAACTTACAAAAGAAACATAGATAATGCAAACAATGCAGAGCTATATAAAAGTTGCCCTGCGCTCTTCCTCAGGTCAAACAATATTAACAGGTAGAGATGTAGTCTTCCCTTCTCCCATCATAGTACAAATACGTAAAGGGCTATTTTTTTTAATTATAAAAATGAAAGCACAGCTAACAGTTTTGTACAATTTTTATCCCCCCTCCGCAGTATGTCAAGTACATCCCCCCAACCAAATGGAGATCTAAGACCTTCCTAAGAATTGAATAATATCGCACCGAAGGTGTCCTATCATTTATTCAGCCTTTCCCTTAGTAACGAATAGTCAGAGCAGTTTGTCTCTAATAGAACGGCCGTCCACTCTGCCAGGATGGGGGCCACCGCAATGCCGAGCCAGCAGGGCCGGCGACACAAAGAAGCGCTGTCCCCTGCCAAGCGCCGCCCCTCGGGCTCGCTCTCGCGCCCGGGAGGAAGTGGGGAGGAGGAGACTCTTCGGGAACCCCTCCTCCCCCCCCCATCCCGGCTGCGCCTCCTCCCCGCTACCAGCTCGCTCGCCCGCCCGCCGCGGCGCTGCCTGCAGGGAAGCCCCTTCCCCGCCGCACCGTGCGTCCCCTCTGCACCCAGCCCTGCCCCCGTCCGGCTGCCGCCGCGACCCGGTGAGTGGCCCCCTGCCGAAGCCCCGCAGGCGGGAGAAGGGGCGGCTGGCGAGGAACTCGGCCTGGCTCTGGGGAGGGCGGTGCCGGAGGCCGAGGGGGCCCGAGGGGGCCCGAGGGGGCCCGAGGGGGCGCGGGCGGACCTGCGGGACCTGCGGGACCTGCGGGACCTGCGGGACCTGCGGGAGGGCCCCCGGATCTGGGACAGGTCCCTCGCTGATTGTGTCCTAGCCTCTGTTGCTGGTTTTTCTCTGCTCTGGGCTCCGCGTCGCCGCTGCCGCATTGCTGCCCCTCTCCGGGTTCTGACATCTGATGTTTGTGTTTGCGTGCTTTGTGTGGTCGAGATACGCACAGGCCCGACGGGAGAACAGCATCTCCTCCGCAGCTTCGTCGGATGAGAATGCCCCAGACCAGGGACGAGGCAGGGCTTGCCCAGGGTCACACAGGTGGCTGGTGACAGAGCATCACTTCTGTCCTACTGTCCTTTGATCTTTGCAAACACCGGCTCTGGGACTGAGTTCCCTTACCCACTCTCACTAGCCCCCGGGGGACCGGTGTCTGTGGGTGTGGGTGTGGGGGGGGAGTTTAAGTGCAAGAGGCGCCAGTGGTCTGTGTACCCCTACCTCACGCAAACCGTGCCAACAGGTCTGGAGCATTCCCTGCCAGGCAGAGCTTTTCTGCTCAGCTCCCTTCCTTCCCCCTATTGCCCTCTCCCCCGCCCCCCAGCCCCCCTCCATTCCGCCTCGGACGTCACCAACAAGCTCTTCGCGGACTGGCTCTGGGCCTGTGTACAAGTCTGGCTGGGGTGAGGGCCTGGGGCGGAACCGAGAGGATTCCGCACCAGAACTCAGTACGGACAGCCCCTCAAATTTAAGAACGACCTGTGTCCCCCGTTGTCTGTTTCACAGAACGCTGTGCTCTGGGAGGCAGGCTGGTCAACACCCCCGGGCTTGTGCTCCCTGCGATGCTGTTCTCTTGGGAGTTTCCTCGTCAGAGAAATGAGCAAATATGAGTGAGAGAAAGAGAGCCCCTGGGGGACTCAGGAATTGAGAAGGGAGTGTAGTAAGATAGGAATAGGGGAATAGAAAAGCAGCATTTTAAATCGTGCTTACTTTTTTGGGAATGGGGGAAGTATTAGGACAAGAAGGCCTTTAAAAATAATGGTAATGGTCTGTTTTTTAAGCTGGGTAGTAGGTATATAGGAATCTGTTTAATTTTTAAAATTAACGTTCTAATACATGTATTTCATATCCTTTTTAAATATATTAAACCATTTTTCAATGAAAAATAAATAAAATTGATCTGGGAATATGTAGGACAGAATACAAAAGAAGGGTGAACCCACCCCAATTCTAGCTTAGTAGAAGTTGATGGACATTGGACAGGGTATTGGATGTATAAGGAAAAAGAAACAAGGGGTTCATGGAAGAAAATGGCAGGAAGAAGAGAAGACCCATAGGACTGAATGTCTGTGCTATTAATCATTTGCCAAGGCCAGGGGAGCTGTTTGCCGAAGAAGTGATCTCGGTCTGCCCTTGACACCATCCATCACTCCCGTTATCCACCCACGGAGCACCTCTTCATTCTCCTGGAGAATCCAAAGAACCCACATAGCCCTGATCTCAGACACTTACCCTACTTGGATCTGGAATCAAACTATAATGCAGGATGTGGTGCAGTATCCAAGACAGGCCTGCTACCCTCCTTCCCTTCCAAATACATCTCTTAAAGGGAAGCCCCATTTAGGTTGCATGGGGCCTCTGTGGTAGGGGTAGGGGACTCGTAAAGCTCTCTGCCTGAGTTACAGGTTGAGCCTGCTTTAGAGGTGCCTGGGGTTCCAGCAAGCTGAAAGAGGGCCGAGTTGGCCCAGAGGAGAGAAAGCAGAAGCCACAGAAGGAGAACCAAGGATGAAGAACTTAGGGAGAGAAATAAAAGGGATTCCCCCACCCTGCCCCCACCCAGCCTGTGTCCCTCTGTAGTCCCCAAGCTAGGAGAGCATAAACAGGCATAAACAGGAAGCTTTCGGTTTAAAAGTCAGGTGTTGGAGTCATGGATATAGCTGGTTAAAGTGGGAACAGAACCAGCTGCAAAATTCAAAGAACCTCATAGAGGAGGGAATCAGATTTTTTTAGTAGGTAAATGCTCAGCCGATTGGGAGATGAAAAAATACATTTTAGGTGAGATATGATCAGGTAAGCAATCCAGTAATATATATACCCAAGCATTTAATGTGTGTTTACTTGCTTGTTTGAAGTTATATTACCTGTGTTACTTTTAACTGTAACAGTAATACATACAATTCAAAGGATGAAGACTTGTATAGGGAGAAAGAATACTGTTCACCTCTTCCCTCCCTAATGCAGTTAATGTTGGCATGTTAAAATGTGGCCCCCATAGATTTTTCTCTTGTATAGAAAATCCTGGTCCTTAACCAGGCTTATATATTTCTGGTACTTAAGAATGTGGACTCAGTACAAGATTCCCTGGGTTTGAATCCTGGATCCACCACTCACACTTGTGTGACTTGAGCAAGTAACACATTCTCTGGCCATCACATTTTTTGTTTTATTTGTTGTTGCCTACCTATAAAATGGATAGTGATCGTACATACCTCACAAGTTTGTTGTCAGGATTAAATACTTTATGAAAGAAACATAATAATGCTTGGAACCTGGAAAGCAGTGTGTTGTGATTACTCCTACTAAAATTACTAGTACTACTGTTATTATCTTCATCCCTACAAAAATGGGTTTGTGTGCTATATATTACAGTGATTTGAGGTTTCCACTTAAAGTATATCTAGGGTTTTCTACATATGCAAAACAGATTTAACTCATTCTTTGTAATAGCGACATGATATTCTATAATATAGATTATCATCCTTTATCCAAACACTCTCCCTCTCAGACGTTGGCTTGCCACACACACAGCATGGGTATCAGGCTGAGGCTCTATCCCAGTCCCACTCGTGGTGCAGGACAGGGGAAACTGGCCGATCAGAGGGGAGCCTGAGTGTTCCCTACCAAACCCCAGCAGGTAAGAGGAGGCAACTCCACAGGAAAAGCCCTCTTCGTTCTGGTCCCCTACTTTTCAAATCTCCAGGCCACCTGCCCATCCCTTTGTCACTTCTCCATAGACTGTTCTCCCATGAACTAGCTTAAAATACAGCTAGGGAGACAAAAACGTGAGTTCTCTGCTCTGAGTGTTTCTGGAGTACCAGCCCTGGCGGTGACCAGGGCCCAGAGAGAAGGGGTCTGATGGGCAGCTCTTTAGGGGGTGTGCATCCGTGGCTGGCTGGGGGCCATGGCCCAGGGTCTTATGTTGTAATACCAGGCTGTGAGGTGGGGTAGCATGCAGAAATGGGATAGGTGTGGCTTTGGGTTAGAGAGCTGCATCCACAGAAGTCATAGATGGTTCTGGAAAACATTCCCTGTCATTTATCTCTCTCCATTTCTAGGTTTGCATTTATCTATCTCCATTTGTAGTTCTGTATGGCAGTGAGCATCCTTGTACATATTATATCTTTAATACTGCTGCTCTTGTTTCTGTAAGAAAGGTCATCAGAAAAGGGATTGCTGGTCTGAGGATAGGCTCACCTCTGAAATGGAGCTGCCACCGTCAGATTGCTCTCAGCTTCTCAGCCCTTCCAGCACATTGTGGTCATGTCCTCCTAGCCTTTTGGACATTGGGCATTATTATCTGCCTTCATCTTCTTCACCTTCTCCTCCTCCTTTGCCTTCTTCCTTTTTGACAATCTTGTGGGCAACATCATGCATTCTATTTTCAATTGCCTTGACTAGTGAGATTGAGAGTATTTGCATAGACTACTTGGCCATTTAAATTTCCTCTTCTGTGAATATCTTCTCTTAGAAGGGTAGGATTTCAACAGATAGAAAGAGGTGGGAGAGGGAACAGGAAGGGAAAAGAATGGAAAGAGACTCTAAAATGAAAGCAGGGCATGTCCAGGGATGCCAAGTGTTCTGGAAGCTGCAGAGAGGTTAGGTGGCTGGAAACTGTAAGGAGCAGCCAGCCCTGGAGACCTCAAACCCCAGGATGAAGGTGTCAGATTTAACCCTGTGGGAAAAAGCAAAGCTCTGGGAGGGGGTTCTCTTCTGGGAAATAATGCTATCAGTGGCTTTTAGAAGAACAGACCCTGGTGACTCAGAAACTGGGTCAGTTTAGTCGAGGAATGAATTACTGAGCATCTGAACTAGGTTCCTGGCACTATGGTTGGAAACCTTGAACGATGACATTGACAGGACTGTGACCAGCTGGATAGCAGACAGGAGGGAGAAGGGGCACAACTGTGACTCTTTGCGGTTTGCTGTCCTGGCTATTTGTGGACACCAGGAAGAGCAGGGAAAGGACAAGCTCTTGTGAACCAGCTGCCTGCTGATTCTAGCATCTCAAAGATTCTCTGAGGTAAATGTCACCCTCCTTAGCAGCTAGGGACATTGAGCCCATGTAATGTGCCTAAGAGGAGCTAGTTTTGAGGGAAAAGACTAAATTTAAGACTTCTTAATTTTAGAGACCCCTGCAGATGGTAGAGTGTGCTCTTTCAGGAGGATCTTGAGTTTATTTGTTACCTCAGAACCAGGGCCTTTTCATCTGTGCCTGCGGAAGGCACAGTGCCTGTGCCCGGGACTTTCTCAGGGGCCCGTGGAAACACTTGAGAACTAAATGTAATAATAATTAATATTAGTGTTAGCATTGGCTCCAAAATGTGAAAACTATAAAATCAGAATCATTAAATGCTTAGTTCAGTTTTTATAAAATCTGACATTAGGTTTGGTTTTTGTTCACTTTCTAAGAATTCTCTATGGGGCGCCTGGGTAGCTCTTGATTTTGGCCCTAGGTCATGATCTCATGGGTCATGGGATCGAACCCCACATTAGGCTTCACACTCAGCTGGGAGTCTGCTTGAGGATTCTCTCCCTCTACCCCTCCCCCACTCGCTCACTCAGTCTCTCTAAAATAAATAAATCTTTTTAAAAAATAACAATTCTCTCTTATGCACATTTGCAAGTTAAATAGCTTACTCTTAACCAAATAATTATAAGTAAACATACATATAAATAAACGCATATACATATATATATAATAAGTAACTGAAAGACACCTAACTTGTTATTTCCTTTAATCCTTGGGACAACCTTATATGCTAGACACTCTCGTCCCTACTTAATGAATGAGGAAGTCAAGTCTGAGATGTGTCACCCCATCTCACAGTTAGTAAGCAAACAGAGCTAAGATTCAGGTCCAGATAGCCTAACTCCAGGGCCTGAGCTTGTAACTGCTTTGCCATATTACCTTGAGAGTGAGCAAATTCTCTGACAGGGGAAACAGAAGGATGTTAAGGACCAAAGATAAAAACATAAGGAACATCTGCATTTTCAGAAGAGGTGAGGGAAGGATAGAAAGTGAATGGGTCAGCAGGTTGAAGATGATGAGGTTGGCTCTGGCCATAACATTACCTGCGGTGAGAGCCTCAGGGACCAGGGGAGCAGCATTGGCTGGTGCCACCGAGTGGGCAGTGAGAATGCCAACCCCTGGATGTCCTGATTATGAAAACACAGCTGCTCTTGGGGCAACTGCTTCAGTAAAGTGTATATAGTGGAGGTCAGACGTCAAGCATCCTAAGCAGGGAGCTCATGGTGAAGAAGCAGAGGGTTTGTGTGAGTACGCATCCACAGACATACACACCTTTCTCCACTGTGTCCAGGTACAAGTAAGAATCTGCCATAGTTCCTGGTTGTCTGGGACCTGGATTCAAGCCACAGAGGACTTATGCTTTCCACTTCCCCAGCCTATGACTGCGACCAAAGAAGCTTCTCTGAGGACCCAGACTTTCCAGACTGAAATTCTGGGATCCCCAAGCTGGGATTAATAAGATCAGTGTGGGAGCTGAGTGGGGCAGGGGGCAGCATGCGGCACCACTGGATTAGTTTTCTGGTGGCTGTTGTACCACATCACCACAAACTGGGTGACCTAAAACAGCAGAAATATGTTCTCTCACAGGCCTGGGGGCAAAGAAGTTTGAAGTCCAGGTGTTAGCAAGGTGATTCTTTCTGGAAGTTCTGAAGGAAAATCTGTCCTATGCCTCTTCCAGAGCTTCTGGTGCTCACCAGCAACCTCTAGCCTCCCTTGGCATATAGATGCATCGCTCCAGTTTCTCTTAGCATTCTCCCCTGTGTGTCTGTGTCTGCATCCAGATGTTTCTTAAAAGACACCAGTCATTAAATTAGGGCTTGCTCAAATCCAGCATGACCTCATCTTAACTTGACTGTACTGCAAGGACCCTGTTTCCAAATAAGGTCACATTCACAGGTACTGGGAGTTAGGACTTACAGATAACTCTTTGGGGGCACTATTCTGCCCACATTCTCCACTTCGAAGGTTTGCTTCCTTCTGCAATGGAAAAGTGTCCAGCTCTTTTGGTTTGGCCACAAGAATTTAGGAGGACTGGGAAGGGTGTGATGGGGTCTCCTGGGTTGGATACCTTGACACCCCTGGTGAGTCCCTGAGTCAATTCAGTCTGTCTCATCTGCGTCGTGGGAAGAACTGTCCCTGCTAGGGGAGGAGTGAACTGTTTGGCTCCTTTATTTATTTGTTTATCTATTCTTCGTCAAACTGAGTCTTTGCTTTCCTCTTTACAGAAGTCAATCCAGCCATGGCGACTCCCTCTGCTGCCTTTGAGGCCCTTATGAATGGAGTGACAAGCTGGGATGTCCCCGAAGATGCCATCCCATGTGAACTGCTTCTAATTGGAGAGGCCTCCTTCCCAGTGATGGTGAATGACATGGGCCAGGTCCTCATTGCTGCCTCCTCCTATGGCCGAGGCCGCCTGGTGGTGGTGTCCCATGAGGACTACTTGGTAGAAGCCCAGCTCGCTCCCTTTCTCCTCAATGCAGTAGGTTGGCTCTGTTCTTCCCCAGGGGCTCCCATTGGTGTACACCCATCCCTGGGACCCCTGGCCAAAATCCTTGAGGGTTCTGGGGTGGAGGCGAAGATTGAGCCAGAAGTGAAAGACTCCCTGGGGGTTTACTGCATTGATGCCTACAATGAAACCATGACGGAAAAGTTGGTCAAGTTTATGAAACGTGGAGGGGGTTTGCTCATTGGAGGCCAGGCCTGGGACTGGGCTAACCAGGGCGATGATGAAAGGGTGCTTTTCACGTTCCCTGGCAACCTCGTGACCAGTGTGGCCGGCGTATACTTCACCGACAACAAAGGGGACACAAGTTTCTTCAAAGTCTCCAAGAAGATGCCCAAGATTCCAGTCTTAGTTAGGTGAGTGCCTTACCCCAGTGGGGATTTGGTCCCATGTTAAAAAAGACACGGTTCTTGTCTTTCGGTTGCTCCCAGGCTAACAGAAGAGACCTTGGCACTTAGGCATAGATTCACCCTAAATCAAGCAGATTTACCCTCTATCAAACAGATCACCCTAAACCAATCAAGGTCCCCATTGCTACTGCCTCCCCAGACCAGACCACTTAGCTCTTTGAGCAGAGAAAACTTCTTAGTGACCATTATTTCCCTGGTGTCTAGCTAAATGTGAGGAAACGGAAAACAGACATGAGGGACCCCATAAGACAAAGTCTAAAGAGCTGTGGGAAAGGCTTTGAAATGTCCAGCCAGATGGGACTGGGATGGAAGTAAGAACTAGACGATTCAGAAGGTGAGCTAGAAGAAAAGATAGCATGAGTTGTTTGTGCTAAATCTAGGAGTTAGGGGAAGATTTTATGTCTGCAGGCAAAACACCTGATGTTGAAGAACGAGGGGGGCAGGCGATGGGTACAGAGACAGGCTACATGGAAGTTCTTTAAGAGCACTGCCCAGTCTGTTCTGTTCACACTGTGCTCCAATATCTCATATAGTGCTGAACGTAGAGCAGGTTAGTAGGTGCTCAGGAAACATTTGTTGGCTGGTGATTGGATGGGTGAATGGGGGAGATTAGAGGCTGGAGTAGTCCCAGGAGTATAAGAAGCGTACCAGGCCACACCCGGTTGTACATTAAAACTCGAAGCATCTTTGGAGCAGAGAGCACTGGGATCTCTGACTGGCAGGAGCAGAGTAAAGTAGGATTGGGTGAGGAAGGCATACGAGGGTTAGTGCGGACACATAGGGCATGGGCCATGGCCTCTTCTTGGCATGGAACATTTGAAACAAAACCCCACATGTGCCATGAGGAAAGACACAGTCGTTCTGAGGCATAATGACTGACCAAATTGATCAGATTTTCAGCTTACCAATGATTTTCATCCTAAGGAACAGGGAGGTAAGACTTGACCATAATTCTGTTTCTAAACAACCTAATCCCCCCTACTTGCCTTCACAGATGTTTTTCTCTACCAAAACCGTACCTCTTTTTTCTTTGGCTTGCCTACTCATCTCTCATCATCAATGATTCTCAGCTTGTGGGGTTGAGGGGGTTCGGCTGTACGTGTGTGTGTACTGATATATGTGTATGCGCACATGTAAAATCAACTTGAAGATTAATGCTTGAGAAACAAATCAGAGTTAATAAGGGAAGTATGCAGACTCTGTTGTGGAGATTGTGGGTTATCAGTGTTGGTTATTTACTAGGTAAGACTGTGTCACAATGCTTGCTTTTGCAGGTAGGTATAGCATAGCTTTGCTCATATGTTAGGTGGGTCATTTTTTAACTTGTGGATGGATTGAAGATGACAGTAGTGATTTTCCTGAGCTGACTGGCTGACAGAAGTATGGAGGAGAAAGTAAAAGGCACAAGAGGGTGTGTGTGGGGGGGTATGAGAGAGAGAGAGAGAGAGAAAGAAAGATGTGAAATACTGATTAAATGCATGGGTTGAGATTAGTATGGGTTGAGATTTGGTAGAGAAAAACAAAAAACCCTCTCCTCCTCACCCCATAGTTTACTTAATATTCACTCTCACAGGGGCGCCTGGGTGGCTCAGTCGGTTAAGTGTCTGCCTTTGGCTCAGGTCATGATCCCAGGGTCCGGGGATCCAGCCCTGCACCAGCTCCTTGCTCAGCGGGGAGCCTGCTTCTCCCTCTCCCTCTGCCCTTCCCCCTAGCTTGTGCTCTCTCTTTCTGTCTCTCTCAAATGAATAAATAAAATCTTAAAAAAAAAAATTCACTTTCACGTAGCCAATGCCGAAAGGTAGACATTAAATGATCTTCTCCCACCTGATGTTGTGGTGGTTGCCAAACGGTATATCAAAATCCATTAATTATAAACCTAAATCAAGTGAATTTTATTTTATGTGAATTAGGCCTTAATAAACCTTTAATATGTCTTTTTTTTAAAGATTTTTTTAATTTATTTTTTAGAGAGAGAGAGAGCATGAGAGGGGGGAAGGGCAGAAGGAGAAGCAGATTCCCCGATGTGGGACTCGATCCCAGGACTCCAGGATCATGACCTGAGCCGAAGGCAGTCGCTTAACCAACTGAGCCACCCAGGCGCCCCTAATATGTCTTTTAATAGGACTTTAAAAAAGAATCAGATATAATCAGATTCATGTACAAGGATATGCAATTCAGCATTATTTGTAATAGGGAAAAGTAGTATGGCTAAATAAATTATAGATTTACCAACCATTAAAACTATGTTTCCAAGAATAATTAAGGGCATGGAGAAAATCTTTTAGGGGGTATTATTAAATGAAATAAAGTAGGATACTAACCTGTTTTTCATTATGTTCCCACTTTTGTTCAAAAAATATAGCTATGTGTAGAAAATATTATAGAAGGAAAAGGTCAAAATATCAGTAATGGGTAGAACTCTGGGTCATGGAATAATGGTAGATGATTTTTACTTTTTAACTTTTATTTTCCAAACTTTCTACCAAATTTTATTAATAAGGTATATATTTCATTACCTCACTTCACATGTAAGAACATTAAAAGACAAGAAAAATAATTCACAAGTCACATTAAAGACCTTCCACATCTGTCAATGCATAAATAGTTTTATGACATAAACAGAAAACCAAATTTAACTCTCCAAATGATTCACTTACCTTTTTAACATCTCTGATACACATATAAATATTTCTATGTGTGTATGTATTGCCAATTGCCAGTACATTGGAATTATGAATCTTCTTCATGGGATACTCTTTTAAGCCACTTTTTCAATATTCTTCAATAGCTCCTATATTTTTAAATGTTCACTTTAAAAAGTAATAGGTCATAAACCTACAACACAACTCTTTTCATCTTTGCATATTATTTTCCCCACTCATCCATAATTTTACATAGTTATCATCTTAGTATACATACTATTTTGAATTCCACTCATAAATATTTTTCATTCTATATAATCTTCAAAGTTATATTTGATTCACTTCATGAGAATGCCTCATTTATTTAATCATTTGCCTGCTGTTGAGCATTTGGATCTTTCTCCACTCTTGTTGTGATTGGTAGTACTATACAGAATATCTGCAAAATGTTTTAGAAACATTAGACAATGCAAGACACCAGGATGCTTCTATTAGAATTCAAGAAGGAAGATTATTTCCATCACATGCTCAGCAAAGTTCAGATTGAAAACCCCTATGGATTTAGTTACTCAAAGGATTTATTTATTTTTAAGCCCTCATTTAAACATGGGAATGTGAATTAAGATAACTTTAATCTTATTACTTGCATATTTCTTACTAAATTCTAAGTAAGATCTTGGGATCCTCTCGCCCTTCTAAGAGTAAACTGTGGCAGGTCTTATCAAGATGAATCAAATTTTTGTCAGAGGACATCTACTTTATGATCAGAAAAACAAATCCCTAAGCAATAAAACCAGATGATCTACTTTTAACCTGGTGAGAATACCCACAGGTGTCAGGACATGAGCCTCCTAGTCACTGCCCTCCCTTCCTGCCTGGAAAGCATCATCATCTGCATTTAGAATGCTAGTCTCCGGGTGCCTGGGTGGCTCAGTCGTTAAGCGTCTGCCTTCGGCTCAGGTCATGATCCCAGGGTCCTGGGATCGAGCCCCACGTCGGGCTCCCTGCTCGGCGGGAAGCCTGCTTCTCCCTCTCCCACTCTCTCTGCTTGTGTTCCCTCTCTCGCTGTCTCTCTCTGTGTCAAATAAATAAATAAAATCTTAAAAAAAAAAAAAAAAAGAATGCTAGTCTCCATGCCCTCTGTAAGACCAAGCCACTTGTAGTCTGTTCCCTGAGCAATTTCTCCTCTTATCATCTTCATCCTCAGTGTCTCTACTGTGCCTCTAGTTCTGAGGCCAGTGGTGGTGTACTTTACGTGCAGAAGGAGACTCACCTTCTATTAAGTATTTCATTTGACAAAACACTGTGTCCATTGTCATAAACTACTCACAGTCTCACTGCAGGACTCAGGATTCATATAACCTGGAAAAGGCCCAGATTTTAGAGAAGGAAGACTTCAGTAAGTTCCCAAGCTCTGTCTGGTGCACGCTCTATAACCTGGTGTCATAGTCACCCTCTCAAGCCTCGTCTCTGAAGTGGGATTAATAATAGCTGCCTTTCAGGATGGTTGTGAGGATTCAGTGAATTAAGAAACACGCTCAAATACCTAAAACACTTTAATTATTTTCACATCCAGCCTCCACACTATGGTATATGAGTATGATGTCATGAATATTATTCCCAACCAGTGAAACTTACCTAGCATCCATCATTATGGTGCCTTACTCCAGATCATGTATGTTGTCCCAGTTGTATGAAGTATTGGCATTTTAACTCATGTTTTTACCTACTTCCTCCACCAAACTGAGACAGCATCATCATGATCAACTGCCACATTTTATAAATTTAACATTTATACATTTAATAAAACAGGTACTAGAGATTGAACTGGCTCCACCAATAAGAGATGTGATGCAGATAAAATGCATCATTAGATGATCAATCTTAGGGAGGTTTTAGGAGAATCAACCAGAATAGTTTGCCTAGTTCCTCTTTGGGATAGAAGTCCCTTGTCTCATTTTTATCCAAACCTCAGGCCTCTATTAAAGAGTTCCAACTCTGTTGTTCATTCATCCATTTATATAGCCAGCATTTATGGATTATATTCTATATCCCAGGCATTATTTCTTATGCCAAGAAAATGATTTCCAAAGACCTGAGAATTAAAAGCACATAAACATCTCCAGTAACAAGACCTGGAAGGAATTAGAAAAACCGAACAACTGTTGTAGGAAGGGGCTGTGATATTGAGTTTCACTGGAACCCCGGGATCTTACTGCCAGTAAATGCAGCGTGACCTTGGCATATCCTTCTACCTCTTTTTCCCTCTGAATAGAAAGTGCTGGAGTAGAACATCCTTGTCCT